GCGGCGTTGGAGACTGCGCCACCTCCTTGGCGAGGTGCTTCAGCACTGATGACTGATTCAAAAAGTCATCTGGGATCTCCGTTATTTCCTGTCATATCATAATGGTTAACAGAACTAAAATTTTACCATCATAATGAAAAAACATTTAGACAAGTACAACACATCACACCCATAACCCAGAGTCGTAGACAGAAAGAGGTATCAAATAATTCGGCCAACTAAAATTTACTCAAATTTTTGCAAAAAATAATTAAAACAATAATATTGTGAAATGCTTGTCTACCTGCACTCCATGATCTGGTGGACTAGTATAGATCCTTTGTCCGCCAATATCAATATAGTTAGCATTACTTGTCACAGCTTGTTCCTTATGCATTTTAGGCAATGGTATGCCACTTGGTTTCTTCCCTTCAGTTTTCTTCAATGTATGATAAGGGGAAGACTGAGTATTCGGATGTTTAACTTCACTATTTGTTCTTTCATGTTCTCTAAAATAAAAATATATACTTTAATATCATATTATTATTAATATAATGTGAAAGTTTAGATCGATGGATGGATAGATGGATATTTGTTAGAGTTTGTAGCTTAAACTGCTGAACGGATCTTAATGTAATTTGGTATAGATGTAGAGGATAGTCTGGAAGAACACTTCGGCTACTTGGTTTTGTTTTTTGTTAGTACCACGCGGACGGAGTTGCGGGAGAAAGCTAGTATTTAATAATGATGGAATTTTTAATAAAGTTTTTTCTTTTATAAATATGACTAAGCATTAAGGGCTTTAGAAAGTATTAGAGTAACATGAAATTCATAAAAACATTTTTATTGAGTCGTAAAATAAAATAAAAACTGACCGAATTGGTGTTGGTCGTGTTGGCCAAGAATCATCCTGATTGTGTATAATTAGAGTATTATAAGAAGATGAAGAAACATCTAAAGAACTCCTATTGCTGTTTCCACCTCCCACAGAATCTTTCAAAGAATTACGATTGCTGCCTGTTACACTTTCCTTAAAAAAAATAACTATTAAAAACAATTACTATTTTTAATCTGGAAAAATATTAAAAACGGCAATTATAAAATTGAAATAGTGATAGTTTTACAGTGAACCTAGAAATATGAAGTTATAATAATTTCACAGAAAATTTAATTGCAGTGTACCTTTAAAGAGTTTCTGTTATTTGCATTATTGTTCTGACTTTGATTCTCTTGACCCTGGGGTTCAACCCTAGCGGTGTGCCGGACGACATAGCGCTCCTCTCGGGACAAATTCTCATTCGATGTGGATACATCTGTCTCACTGCCTGACAGACTTTGTGGAAAACCACTTGACACTGTTAGAATATATAAAAAATATATTACCACTATCTTCATTATGAGCACTTCCAGAAATGATTTAGGCTATGTCAAATAAGCTTTAGGGTCAAGTAGTCACATTTTTTAAATCTCTACAGGGCAGCTGTTACTCCCTTCTAGCTATGCCTGTGATTTCCCTAGCCTTGTCCTACTCGTGACGGATTACTGAGATTTTATAAACCTTATTGTTTTGGCATAATTTATTTAAAAATTAAGTCATAAGTCCATAAGTATAAGTCCCTTGTTCTACTTGTAAACAGGAGAATCAGATTAACATATTATAAATTTAGTGCCACTGCTTCGGCTAGCAAATACATTTTGATTCAAAAATGTTTAACAATTACATAGCAAATGTTTTTTTTTTCAATGGCAATTCAATCAAATCAAGTGGAGTAGACAAAATAATAAAAATCATAGGCCATTGTAAATTAAAATTACATGTAACATGTGTTCAATTTATAAACAAAGATAGATAACATAAAATTCTATTGTTTAATTGAATACTAGCATGGTACTATGTGTAACTAAATGATATATTTTTAAAAATAATCCACCTGAATTATATTCTTCTTTAAATTTATTTTGTAAATCGTATACACTTATGTGTGGTGTTTTTCATACAGAATTTTATTTATAACATATGTTTTTATTGAACGTTTTTTGAAAGTAAAAGTGAGAGCAATTACCTTATTATGATGAAATGTGATTCATATCATTGGAATGCTACACTTTAGTTATACTTTCATTAATCATGTACTTACCAGGCTGTTTCTGTGTCCTTTGTATATTGTTCGTAAACGAAAGGAACCGTCCATTTGGACGCATGGATCCCATGTTTAAAGATTTATGACTATATCAACAGGAAACCATTTCACACTAACCAAAACTTCACTATATTGACCCTCCTGCACACTATGTTTGTAACATCTGCAAGTTAAGTCACTTGTGTTTATTAACACACAACTCATGAATAGAAATAGAATGCAATAAGTAATACAAAATATGCAGACACATTGTAATTCGTAACCATAGGTATTTGAATCACGATTTGCTGTTCGTCTAACAAAAGGAAATGACACTGTGTAACTTATAAGCTTTAAAATAACTTACAATGGATGAAAGACTTAATTTTACATTAAGATATATTACATATTTCCTAAAGATTAATTCGATTGCTGAAATAAATTGGGTGAACCAGCTGTCAGATAAGTTACTTTTGTTTTTGATTTCTCAAATTATCTGTGAAAATTGATACAGATTATAGCAACAAAGACTATAAACTATTGGAGTCAGTTAATCTATGAAAATATTAATAAACAAGTGACAGTGACAGCGAAGAAAGTGACAGTTAAGTTGGAAACTTGACTTTGAAGAAAAATTTGAACCTTGGCGATTTCTAAAATTTTCGCATTTGTAGTTAGGCGGGGCATACGTTTGTTTTAGTGAAAAAACTGTTAATACACATACTGGAACAATTTGGGAAACTTCCCAGATAAAGAATTGCTTAGTCTTGTGTCCAATACTAACAAGTAGCTCAAAAATGTCCCTAAGATTTTTTACTAGAATGATTTTGCCAAATACACTTCACAAGTTACAGATGTTAAACACTTCTGTATATAATTTAAATAAAACCCTGCCATCCGTGCGTAAGTTACTTTTATATCAAAAACTTCAGGTAAATTGACTTCCCTATCGCATAGTACTAATCTTATCCTCTTTCTTTCAATCTCTTGTTGCAGGCACTTTAAGCCTAAATTTACCGATAAATACACACCAGCCAAGGCGATTGTTCTCTGAAGATGCCAAACTTCAAGAAATGATTGTAGACTATGATTTTGTAAAGAATGCTACAACAAACAAAAATATTTTAATTGTTGATGTTCGCGAACCTGAGGAAGTTAAGGAACATGGCAAAATCCCTAACAGCATTAACATTCCTTGTAAGTAGAAATGAATTTAATAGATTTTTTTTGCACTTTGCACACCAGCTCCATAGTTAAAGGTAGGCGAAAATGTACAATTCCAAATATCTAAGCGCAGTATTCCTTTTACTGTTTTGGTAAATCCAGGTAGCTATTTACAACCTTATAATATAAAAAGGCAAAAGTTTACCTGTAGAGTAATTTATTTCGTTAAACCTATTTTCTAGTGGGAAATGTATCAACTGCCCTGAACTCAATGTCAGAGAAGGAATTTGAACAAACATATGGTCAGGAAAAGCCATCAGAAGATAAAGAAATAATCTTTTATTGCATGATCGGAAAGAGGTCTGGCATGGCCCAGCAAAATGCTATAAGCGCTGGATACAAGAAGTAAGTTCATTTTAATACCATACTTCTATGTTATGTAATGTAAACAATTTTAAAAATACATTTCTTGCAGTGCCAAAAATTATGTTGGAAGCTGGAATGATTGGGCAAGCAAAAATCAATAGATCATAAATACTATGTTTTACAAAATCATCTTATGCATTTTATAGATTCAAAAAACTAGTCATGTAATGTTATCCATAAATATTGTATTTTTATTATTAAAAATATTGTGGTATAAAGTTCGTGTTTTATTTTGTTTTAAATGATAAAAGATATTAAATGTATACAATAAATGATAACTAGAAAGGATTTTCATTAGTTAATATAGGGCAAACACTAGTTTTGTAATCTTATGATTTTTAATTCTTACTACAGGGGTGACAAACCTTTTCATCAATGTGTAATTTTTTATAGAAAATCAGTTTAGGTGGAATTGTGGTCAAGCGCTGATTTATGATTTAAAAAAAAATGTTTAATGCAGTAAATAATCACTTGGGTACATTACATAGCGTAGTGACTACTGTGCATTGGCTCATATAATAGCTACTTCATTCAGTTCTCATAGTGCATAATGCATTTAGAGATCAGTGAATGACTAAAATATTGCATTATGTGCACTGGCAATTGGTTTCCTACTCCTGCCCTACTATATACAATTTACAGTTACAATATACAAATTATAACTTGATGTATGACATATCACAGTATGTTTGAATAAAAAATAGAAAAACAATTGATATTTTAATAATGTATTTTATATTGGTTACATGAATAATTCATAATAAACCCCAGCACCATATTTAATCTTATTAAATCATATTATGCTTTAGTAATCATAGCAATAGAATTACTGCTGTCTGCTAGACCAGTCATTCCAGCTGCCTAGATATGTTTTTGAACTGAAACAATACAAAAATAATATTATGATTAAAGATAAACAAACAATATTATGCATTCTAGGAGTGATTGTTTAAAAATATGAATTCTTTATTTTTAAATATACTTTCAATGAACAGTGGAATTTATACAATTGACCCGAGATAAGAGTTTATAAAAACAAAATTCTGTTACATAACTGTTATTGATAATATTTAAATGAGAGTAAGAACTGAGCACTTATTTTACATCATCTCTTGTATAATTTAAAATAAAAAGATAAAAATTATTTTCATAAATACAACTCACACAACCCATGCAATACAAATTTCTAGGACTTGTAGCAAGTCTAATTTAAAAAATACATAGAATAGTATAATACATACTTGGAATATCCAAGTTTTAAAGCTTTATCAAGGGCTTCAGAGGACCGTCTCCCCGACTGACAGTAGAAGATCAACTCATCAGACGATGTTGGCTTGCTTCGTTGGAAATTCTTTTTGAATTCATCTTCAGACATTGATGTCAATACATTTTGTACCTGGCCCACTAAATATAGATATTAAATTATATATAAACATAGCAAACAAGAATAGCAAAGACAAAACATTTGCAAAGCAACACTGGTTCGTAAGTAGTACAAGAAGTAGCTATAGGCATATGAAAGTGACAAAAAAAGTTTCCACCCATGCTCTTTCAGTAGTTTTTCTGTATGTATTTTCAATTTCTTATACTCAATGTTGACAGGGGAATGAAGTTACTTTTTTTGTCCTTTATATCAATTACCACATACAATTTGGTTTTCAAGTAACATCAGCAATAAAGATATAGAAACTATGACTGTAGAACATTTTAAAATTGATAGCTATTTATCTACTATTCATTACAGTAACAATAAATAAATAATTACATGGAATATTTATGCTCGAAGGTATCTTTCCTGTTGCCTTAATTTCATCCATATTCCTAACATCAATGATAACCTTTTCAGGTTGATGGATCACTTTAAGCATATCTTCATAGCTCACCACTCTCTTGGGATCCACCATTATGCTCTGAAATTCTTTCTTACTGCTGAATTGTCTTGATTGCTGTGTATCTTGTAAGCCTAATGTACTACAAGGCTGCAAGAAACCTAAAAACATAGATACAAAGTAACTAGCATTCCTTAAGAACACGAATTAAGTACAAAGCCACTTGAAGCACATTACAAGGCAGAATGTAGAATTTTAAGCAACCCAATTTAAAGTGAATAATCAAATTTAAGCACATTTAAACCCTTGAGTGGTGAAGTGTAAAGAAGATAGCACCACAATATGATAAAATATCCCACCTCCTGCACATATAAATATACAAATACAAATATAAGTACATTTTCCAGTCCCCAACGACGTTATTACTTTCGCAGCACATCTGATGGAAGCTATTAATGCTGACATGGTTCACACCACGAATAAATTCACACTAAATCACACAAATGTATATATTTCTCCCTATACACACAGCAAAAACAAAAACACAATTTAATAAAACAAGATATACATATGCCACAACCGATGTAGATTTAAAAGTATTTGTACCTGCAGACCACTTGCATAAAATATTACTTTACAAGAGACAACTCAATGATAAAATCTAGCATCTAAATGAGACTTATGTTTACACTTAACATCACAGTTAAATCAAATCAAACAATTATAACGAAACAAATAGAACCTGTAAGGTTTGACAGTGACACTTGACAATGTGTCAGTGACAAAAGAAAAATAAAATGTCTTATAGTCCAAAGAGTAAAAAACGAAACTCTATTGCGAGATTCCTTTTAGGAATAAATTACATTAGTGAGTGTTTTGATTTTGGTATTCCTACTGTTTTTTTTACTATTTATATTTATACAATAAATTGTAATATTGTGATGTATTATATAAGATTTATCTAACTACACACATTATTTCTAGAGGACTAGCATGCATCCATCTTTACGCTGCCGAATTGCATCACCTTTCCTATCCTTTTAACAGCTTGGTAAAAGGATATTGATACGATGTAACATTACCGAACAGTACTTCCATTTTATATGCTTACCTCTTGTGTGGTCGTGGTGCTGAACCAATGGAACTTGCCATTTGTGTGATAGCTGTTGCTACTGCGGATGTGAAAATTATTAACTAACAAATTTTTAAGATTAGGTGCCTATTTGTATGTATGGTATAATTGTACTTATAAATTTTAAAATTAAGCAAGAAAAATCAAAAATAGAAAAAATGTTTAATAAAATAAAGTACCAATGATTATAAAAATAGCATTTAGTGTATATCAGTCTTGATGATTGATGACAAAATTCATGAAATAAAAATCCAATGATAAGCCTATCAAGATGATAAGAATAATTACAATAAAATTACATATGTACTTACATATTTTTTTTTAACATCAATAGAGTATTTGAAAAAAATATTAGTATAATTAATGATTGTTTTTATAAAAAAATATGTCTTATAACAAATAGAATCTAATTCAGAATTGCCCATTTTTCCTTAATTTTAAACACTGGTATATGCTTTTATTAAAAATCTGTTAAAACCTAATATTATTTTTTTTAATATGCTAATTTCTTGCCACCTTTTCAAAATATTTTTTCTTTTCAGCTGGGTTAGGTATAATCTGGAAAATACAAGAATTTTTAAAAATTAACTTAAATTGAATTTACTTATTAATTTTATGACTAAAATAAGTTTACTTACTGTATCTTGACCTGGCTTCCACCCAGCAGGGCAAACTTCACCATGATTATCTGTATACTGGAATGCTTGAACTAATCTTAAGGTTTCATCTACTGACCGGCCCACTGGCAGGTCATTCATGGTAATCTGTCGCAATATGCCTTTGTCATCAATTATAAACAACCCTCTGAGAGTGTGACCTACATCCTCTAAGTACACCCCATAGTCCTTAGCTATAGAATGTGTTAAGTCACTTAACAGAGGAATATTTATCTTCCCAAGACCACCTTCCTTCCGTGGTGTGTTAATCCATGCCAGATGGGTAAAATGTGAATCAACAGAGCATGCCACTACTTCAGTATTTATTTTCTTGAATTCTTCAATCCTTTCCGAAAATGCCAAAATTTCGGTAGGACAAACGAATGTACTGAAAGTAAAGCAGTAACTCAGACTTTAGCTCATAGAGATTTTTAACAGTTTTATTACTTAAAAATACTTACAAATCCAAAGGATAAAAGAAAAATACTAAATATTTCCCTTTAAAACTAGACAAAGAAAGTTGCGTGATCTCCCCATTCACAACTGCAGTTGCCTCCCACTCTGGCGCCGGTTTGGATACTTAAAAACAGATTGATGGTATTTTACAAATGTAAACATGCAATATTTCATATAGACTGAAATTCAAAATACGTACTCATTGCTTTAGTGAATTGTAGTTTATGATCGATTTTCCTAGCACCGCCGGGAAAAACATTTCCACTACCAAAGGAATAACAAGAATCACTCTCAAATATAGACGAATTAGAAGTATTTATTGACCATATTATAAAAATTATTGCGCTATATATCGACTTCATGTTACAGTAGTAGAAAACTTCTTTAAAAATGTATAATATCAATGACGGCCAGTAACAGCGACCATGTAACCAGAGAAAGGGACACGTTTCCGTTTTTTGAACAGAAACAAATCACAAATCCAATTCCCAATCACAAAATGATAATAACTGTTAACATTAGTGAAGTGACTATCCTGAAAACAATCGACAGTATAGAATCGCGCAATGGATTTGACAAACAAAAAAGATTTAGACGAGAGCGGGATAGTTTAGATATTAACATTTTCAATAACCTACCTAAGCGAAACTTTCTTTGTTTGGTTTGTATTAACTTATCCGCAATTCTATAATGGGCATTTTCAAATTGAACTGCATGTTTGATTGTTTGACATAATATTAAAACGAATAATTTGAAACTCGAAAAATCGTATTGAACGGTGAACTTCACTATTGTACAATGACAGCACAAATAAACAGTTGTCTATGGTCATAAAACATTTTACAAACCGAACAGATAAAATATTATTTTATAGTGACACATATCGTTATTTTTAATGGCAAAACATTATTTTACACACTCAAATTACTCAATATGAAAACATAGTTCGAATAACTTAAATTAATCTAGAAAAGTCGTCTCAAACTTAAGCTATTTGCGTTTAATAATTTTTTAAAGGATTTGTAATGAAGGGGTTGCTGGCTACACTAGATTTTTAATCTTTGGTTATTTCTGATTCGCATTCGCAGTCCCAAGCGAATGTCGAATATTATTTCTTTTGACTTTGTAATTATTTTTATCTTTTAAAACCACCAAGAAAAATGATTTATTTAATCATTTTTAATATAATCTCCTAAGTTTGACGTGATATCAGTCCATCGCAACTTTTTGCGGTAAGTTTATCGAAGTTTCTTGGTTGGATCTACTTGTCGTTCATTATGGCGGTCTGATTACATTACTTTTAATGTTTGGTGTCATGTTATTCATATTTCAGCTATCTGTAGAGCTAAAAAGTTTGTATTCTGGGAAGTGTATAATTTATAATTTTCTGTTTTGTAGATGGACGTACAAGACGAAGGTGTTTTGGATGTTGACTTACTCCCTGACGATGGGTCAGACGATGAAGGTGAAGCGCCGCCGTCTTCTGGTATGACATTTTGTTTACAAATTGTATAAAAATTGGGTTCATTTAGCCAATTTAAGTCAATTTCCAACATTCCGTGTAGTGTCCTGTCAGTTATGCGTCAATCAAAATAGGAGCGAAAATGCGTATATACCATACCTGCTGGGACATGCGTTTGTTCAACCTCATTAAAGCATTCAAGTTATTAGCTCTATTCAACTTACCAACTCAAATTTATATTTCCTCACTTTAATATTGATCAAAAAAGTTGTCAATACTTTCCTACATTACAGGATAACTTCCTTATCTATTTTGGAAATTATATTTGACATACTTAGTTGTGGGAGCAAAATAATAATAATTACAAAATATCTTCATTTACCAACATAATTAAGTCGTAATAATTATTGCAGATTTCTATGTGGGGCCAGGGTCAACACCAACATCATGTGCATCATCCCCCCGTGGGGAGGAGCCTGCCTCCCCACACGGGGGTGCGGCACAGCCAGCCTTCTTCCACCACCAACCATACAGCCGACCATTCTTTACGTCTGTTAGAAGAGGTCCGGGTAGACCTAGGAAAGAGGGGCCCAAGTTAGCTAGAGAAGGGAAAATTGTCAGAAGGTATAGTAATATGAAATCATTCCAAAAGAGCATTTAACAAAGTTTTCCAATATTAACTTCTATTATAAACTTGAATTTAACTATTCAGTTCTTTTCACTGTTTTTTTAGATACAGAGGGAATGCTGGTTCAGTGAGAGGAGCAAAGCGTCATCGCACTAGCCGGGATGATGCTCTTGATGAGATAATGGATGAGGATGACTTCACTATGCCAGCTCCAGAAGAGCCACCATATATGCCTGAAAAGTGGTATAGTGTTTAAATAATATTTTCTTACCAGTACATAACATGCTTAGGTTACTTATGATGACCAAAACTTAGTACTATAAAGATAATTCTTTGTTAATAATATGTTATTTTTCTTTTACTTTTGATAATTCAATGTTGTAGGCCCGGAAAAGTTTGTGCTTTCTGTAACCTGAGTGAGAAAAGTCAACTAGGGCAGGGTGAGATGCGTCAAATAGTTTGTAATATTGAAGAGGGTGATGGAAGTTCAACACCGGCTATAAATTCTGGAGGTGCAACACCAACAAGCATATCAACACCAAGCACACCAACTTTACCAATGATACCTGGGTTATCATCACCACCACCTGAGTCAATAGATCCAATGCAACAACATTTAGCTTTACCATTAAGTAGACGGCAAAAGGCTTTTAATAAATGCAAGTAAGTACATCAAATTCAAACCAAATTATGTGTAATAATTCTCACAATTATGTTGAATTTTTTAATTAAATACACCATTATAACTCACTATATGTCCCTACTGAGAGGTTTGGAGCTAATATTAAGTTAGGCATGACTAGGCTATAATCAAGAATGCCAAGCCTATGTCATGTACATTATGAACTTTCAAAAACATGGTAAATTTGGTAACTTCAGTAAATGGTGAGATTCAAACCCAAAACCTGAAGATTACAAGTCAAGTGCTTAACTACTGAGACACTCACTCTAAATAATTAATCTTTTAAAAGTAGCTAATACCTAAAAATTGTCAATATAGTTCCGTCCTAAAGTTTTTATTAAAAAAAATAATGGAATGTAAAAATATATTTCGACGCATAAGTGATGCCAGCTTCTAATCCATTGTTTTCATATAATTTGTTTTCTTTCTAGAACTCCACTGTACAACATGGAGCACACAGATGAACTGTCCATCATTGGTTACTTGGATATTCTGGAGTTACCATCCATTGTGTCTTCCAGTGCAATATACATACATAGATGTTGTTTGGAATTTAGTCCACCCTTTCAGGATCAGGTAAGTTTGCAATAAATTTGTATTTTTTTTAATGATTAAATAAAAAATTGTCTTATAGTCAATATGGGATAACTATAAAATTAATTTGGCTGAAATTCTATGTATTTGGGTTGATTTCTATTTGGATTTTACTATGTATTGGAATAATTCAAAAATTACTGGGCGGATTTCAATAATTCTTTCACCATTAAAAAGCTATGTTATCAGTGATATACCTTTTATTAATTTCACGAGGGCGAAGTCTAGAGCAACAGCTAGTAAAACTTAAAAACTACTCGTAGATTTTAAAAATTGTTTCGCCATTACATATCAACATTACCATTGCATGACATAGGCTATATTATTAGATTTTTTTAATTTCGCATGCAAAAGCTAGTTAATAACTGAAAATGATTCTATTCCTTGTTACCAGGTTGCAGCAGCTTCTAATAATGAAGATAAAAGCCAATTAGAAGAAGCAAGAGTTAAAGGAATTGTTAGCAATGCATTATCAAGAAAGTGTGCCTTTTGTCAAAGACATGGGGCAAGCATTCCATGCAAGGTACTTATATGTAGTAATTTATGTATAAAATAATATTTATTAAAAAATCGGTCCACTAGCGGCGGAGTTAAGCCGTAACTCACATAAAAAAAAAACATACATACGAATTGAGTACCTCCTTCCCTTCTACCTTCCTTTTGGGAAGTCTGTCAAAAAATAGACTAATTATGTGTAATTAATTATTTCAGATGAGCTGTAGTAAATATTTCCATTTACCATGTGTCTTGGCATCAGGAGGTTTTATTGATTTTCATACCAAGTCATCTTTCTGTAAAGATCATTTATATCAAGTACCACTTGTTTGTAAGTATTGTTTACTATTGAAACTGTAATTTTATCTATTAAGGGGTAATGATTTAATATATGTTAGACTATGTATTTAAATCTTAGAAAGAAATTCGTTTTAGTTATTGCTTAAATATGTTAAAAAAAATACATGCTAGCCGTGGAGTTGCGGAAACTGTAGCCCCTACTACTATACTATACTAAATATGTTTGCTTAATTCAAAAGTATGTTTGGTAATAATATAGTGAAAAGCGAGTTCTTTTCTTAATATCTTGGAAGAATTTTACTAAGTCAATGTAAGTTTTTAAAATAATGAAAACGGCAACTTTATACTTTTTAAACTTTTAGGTACAGCTGATATTGAATGTAGGACGTGTAGAACAATCGGCGACATCTCCAACTTAATGACATGTGTTACTTGCGGAGGTCACTACCATGGTACTTGTGTAGGACTCGCTCAGATGCCAGGTAAGTCATTCTGCAGTTTTTTCTTCAAAATTCCAATTTGTATACTGTCATTGCTATTATACCTATGAATAAATATTATGTGGAATTATGTTAAAATTATATTTTTCAAAAGATATTGCTTGAATAGTCATAACTCATCTAAAATTTGATACCTCCATTTCCATGATCAATAGATCAGTGAATCGCTTAAGGTCTCAGTTCAATTTGTATGTGATTGGAATCTTTAGTCCTACAGATAAATGCGGTAAAGTTAAATTTAGAAATAAACTCTGTATAAGCAAAATTAGTACATATTTTGCTTATTCAGTAGAACCTCGATAAGTTAAAGTCCAAGGGAAATAAAATATTTTAATTTATAGAGGTTTTAGGTTATCAAAGGTCTATGTTATAGAGGTTTTGGGCTCTGATAGGAAGGAAACATTATTTTTTGAAGTTATAGTGGTTTTTAAGTTATTGAGATTCTACTGTACTCAGTTTATTCCTAAGTTTAACACTATACCACGTTTATTTGTGAGGCCGTTAATACAGTTAGCAGATTTATCTCTTTACTTGAGTATGGGTATTCTGGTACTTTCTTTCCGGCTACAATTTCCCCTTGTACGATGTATTTGACGTGGCAGGGGTGCGCGCGGGCTGGTCGTGCCGCGGCTGCCGCGTGTGCCAGGTGTGCCGCGGCGAGGCGCCGGGCGACGCGCGCGCCGTCGCCTGCGAGCACTGCGACAAGCTCTACCACGCCGCCTGTCTGCGCCCCGTCATGGCCACCGTGCCCAAGTACGGCTGGAAGTGCAAGGTGATAACTTTACTCACACTACTATGCACATCACACACATTGTATAGTAGTTTTCACATATCTTGCTGGCTCTTAACTTACTATGCAGAAAACACAAATACACAAAAAAACTCAGGTTTACTTGTGAATACATTTATTACCCGCTGAACATTGCTTTGGTAGTAGTAAGATAACTGTTTTAGTCTGGTTTAAGTTACCTGTATTTACCACTTTTCAATTTCTATTTATGATATCGTTAGTATCTAAAGTAACAAAAAAATTAGGTCTAGCAAGGCATAGTGGAATAAGAGATATGGGCCCTGTGCAGCATAATAATGAGAGATACCGTAGAGATATTTGAAAAGAACTGTACTGACTTATGTTTATGTTCTTTCCATTGTATCATATTTCATCTGTACATAGTTTATTAAATGTACAACCGTTTTTGATTGTGGTGTCAGATCGCATGCTATCCATATAGGGTTAGTTGGGATGAAATTGTTTCAACTTACATTTGCTAATGAGACGTTAGGTGTGTCATTTGTCTATAACTGTTCTCAAAAAATATTTTAATTTGACAAAAAAAAAAATACTGCTGTAATTTACACTATCTAGTTTAGCGTCAAATGTGCATGTAGTGATAGTGGAAGAGAATATAAAGTTAGATCTTGGTGATTACGAGAGAAAATTTTGACAGGAAATAGCGGACCAATAGTCATGTAGAGATTGTTTCTGAAATGCGGAAGTTTACATGGATGGATGGATATTTGTTGCTACGTATCCAGATCGGCTCATGGATCTCTCTGAAATTAGTCAGATATAGGACATAGTCGGAAAGAACACTTAGGTCACTAGTTTTAGTTTGTTTTTAATTATTCGCGGGCATTGTCGCGATAGCAGGCTTTGTAAAAGTATGTTCTGTGGCAGTGCTGCCGCGTGTGCTCGG